CGTCCGCAGCCCCGAACTTCGCGTTGCGGTGATACTGCAAGGTGCGGAGTGCGTGGGGAGGCGCGCCTGAACCAGGGAGGAAACAGAGCCCTTGCTTGGGTCAGAGGAGCCTGGGGCTACTGGATTCATGGGTGGGTGGGTGTGGGAAGCCTCCAGACAGGGCATGAAAGCAGCAGGCCTGCCCGCATCTGGGATGCAGAGATATACTGCCACTGGGCATGGAGGCTCTGTTCTGCTTCCTCGTTCAGTAGCCAGTGCTGGGCCTCTGACCTTGGGTTTAACTGGGTAAAGGTAAAGGTCTCCCTTGCTCGAAAGCCAGTCGAGTCCGACTCTAGGGTTGCGGTGCTCATCTCCGTTTCCAAGCCGAAGAGCCAGCGCTGTCCGAAGACGTTTCCGTGGCCATGTGGCCGGCATGACTAAACACCAAGGTGCACGGAACGCTGTTACCTTCCCACCGAAGTGGTCCCTATTTATCTACTTGCAATTTCTTGCTTTTGAACTGCTAGGTTGGCAGGAGCTGGAACTGGAGACGGGAGCTCACCCCGTCTTGCGGCACCCGGGTCTCGAACTGCTGAACTACTGACCTTCCACAGCCTGCAGTTCAGCGTCTTAACCACTTGAGCCACCGCAGCTCCTGGGTTTAACTAATCCCCCTTTAAAACCGACTAATCCAGCGATGGCCGTCTTGTCGGTTACTTTCCTAAACTAATTCTGTGCTGTGTCGAAAAGAACGTCCATTATGCCAGTCCTGAATTTACTGCTGGTCGGCTTCAGTACTGACTTCTTGGGCAGAGGGAAAGAAGGACGGCAAAGGATGAGATGGTTAGACAGTGTCATAGATGCAAGGAACATGAAATTGAGTGAACTTCAGAGGACGGCAGAAGACAGGAGGGCCTGGCGTGACCTGGTCCATGGGGTCGCGAACAGTCGGACTTGACTGTGCGACTGAACAACAACAACATCACACTGGACACTGTTGTATAAATATATATCCTTCCTCCGGCAGTTGTCTTTTTCTCCATATCTGAAAAACGCCAAATATTTATTTATTTGATTTCTCCATCAGAGGGGATCACAACATATAAAAATGCAAATGCAGTTACAAACATATAAGTTTAACCAATTCAAATATTTACAATTAATCAGATGGCGTATAATAGTACTCTCACTATTCCGGGGGAAGAAAAAAAGGAAGAAGAAACAGGCAGAGCTATATACAAGAAATCTCTTGGCCTCACGCATATGCTTGGTGATACAACTCTGTTTTATAGGCCCAGCGAAAGTGAACCAGGTCCGGGATCTCACTCGGAAGTGCGCTCCACCAACCTGGAGTTACGCCGAAAAGGCTCTAGTTCTTGTTGTGGCCAGGCGGATATTCTCTGGCCCCGGGACTGTCAGTGTGTTGTTATTTAAACAGCGTAGTGCTCTTTGGGCGGGCCTGAAGATATGTTGGTCCCAGACCATGAAGGGCTTTGAGGGTTAAAACCAATGCCTTGAACTTGATCTGGTATTCAATACTTTTGCTTTCCCACCAAAAGAAAGTGTGTGCCAACCCCCTCATTGTTTGGGTTGCTTTTTTCTGCACCTTATCTGATGCTTTGCAATGGGTGGTTGTTCTGTAGATTTAATAAAGGTGTTATGGATCTGGCTGTTTTGTTTTCATAGCCTTTCCTAATAATCCCTAGGATAAACGAATTGCTTTTACTTGAATCTTGTCCATAATATTTGTTATTTTGGACAGGATCTGTTAAAAGCAGTTATTGATATACTATCAATCAGTTTTGATCAGCCTTACCTACCTCACAGGGTTGTGGTGAGGACAGAAGAAGAAAGGGAGCATGTATGCCATCCTGACCTTGGAGGAAGGCTGGAATAAAAATGCCATATCCCTCCCTTCTGCCAAAGAGATTAGGACAGCATACATGGTTCTCCCTTTTCTTGTTTGCCTTCACAACAACCCTGTGAGGTAGGTTTGCTCTGAGAGAGTATGATTAAGCAGAGGTCACCTAGTGCCAGTGAACTTCATGGCTCAGTTGTGTTTTTGAACACAGGGCCTAGCCTGACACTGTGCCCCTCCCGCTGTAAATATGGGAATAATCATACTGCCCTGCTTTACATGCTGGAGAATAACTGAGAAATGTATATGAAGCACTTAGGGGAAACCTAATTTAATACAGAATATTGTTTTATATTGTTCAATGTATACATTTCCTCTATGACTAATCTAAAAAGGTAAAGGTTCCCTTGCTCGAAAGCCAGTCGAATCCGACTCTAGGGTTGCGGTGCTCATCTCCGTTTCAAAGCCGAAGAGCCAGCGCTGTCCGAAGACGTTTCCGTGGTCATGTGGCTGGCATGACTAAACAACAAGGCGCACGGAACGCTGTTACCTTCCCACCGAAGTGGTACCTATTTATCTACTTGCAATTTCTTGCTTTCGAACTGCTAGGTTGGCAGGAGCTGGAACTAGAGATGGGAGCTCACTCCATCATGCGACACCCGGGTCTCGAACTGCTGAACTACCGACCTTCCACAGCCTGCAGTCCAGCGTCTTAACCACTTGAGCCACCGCACTTGAGCCACTAATCTATTCAGAGCTTAATATGAGATTGCCACCCGTTTAATGACAGGCAGAAATCCCGCAGGTGTGGTTTTTCTTAGGCATGACAGTGCAGTGATTGGGGGAAGGGAGCTTTCACCTGTTGCATTTCTGCTTATCACGTAGTGGAGAGAAGACACTGGAGCTCTGCTAAGGGGAGGTAATAAACCCCACTTCATGGTATTCCTAAAGGTGAGCCAAGGATAACCAAGACACACGTTTCAGAATCCATGTTGAGTGTTTTGTCAGGATGAGAACCCAGAACTTGCCTTTCTCCTTGCCCCCAATTAACCCTTGGGAATAATTCTCTGGTGGTGTTCTCTCCTGTGGCATCTCTATGGTGAAAACCACATGTATTACGAGCTGGCCTGCAGAATGGACTATACCATTCCAGGCTTTACCCGTTCCACGTTTGAACATTTCCAAAGGCAAAAGAAGAAGAGGAAGAGATTGGATTTATACCCCGCCCTTCACTTGGAGTCTCAGAGCGGTTTACAAACTCCTCTCCCTTCCCCTCCCCACAACAGACACCCTGTGAGGTGGGTGGGGCTGAGAGAACTCTGACACAAACTGCTCTTTCAGGAACAGCTGTGCCAGAGCTTGTGACTCACCCAAGGTCACATCAGCAGGTGCAAGTGAAGGAGTGGGGAATCAAACCCAGTTCTCCCAGATTAGAGTCCGCACACTTAACCACTACACCAAACTGGTGTAAATTACCCTGCCAGTAGAAAACTGGCCTAGCAGAAAGTGGGGTGGTGGAGCCAGAAGAACTCATCTCCGGCTAGCTTTTGTTTTTTCTGGCAAGAAACGTTTACATGGAGGGGCATTCTTATTTTTTAAATTTATTTTGTTTTATTAGATTTGTATCCCGCCCTCTCCGCATAGCGGGCTCCATCAAATAAAATATACAAACAATTGAAAAAAATTAAAATACATCAGATAAAATACAGTAATATTCCTGTATTTCTAATCAAAGACTCAAAAACAGATAACAAGATAGACTAAGGGCACAGCAAACTAAAGAGCATAGACATACGAGAGGTTGCTGCAAAAGTTCAAACTCTCAACAAAAAATAGCAAACTTGTCAAAGCACAATATCACTAATCAATAGCATTTTAATCTTGATTTGTTTCAGTGAATATCAAGAGACCAAAGTCCCATCAAGATGCAAGAAAACGGCAACAGGACGAACTTTCTCGACTGTTTGTCCGGAAACATTTGTTGAATGTAAGA